CTCCCCCTGCTTGTGTTCCCTCTCTCACTGTGTCTCTCTCTGTCAAATAAATAAAATCTTTAAAAAAAAATAAAAAATAAAAAATAAAAAATTGATGGTTCCACAGTGATACTCAAAAAAGTGGTGGAGTATGAAAAGGAACATTCATCTTTACAGAAGAATGGCAACTAAAAAATGCAGAAAGACTTAAGTGGAAAGGTCATTTTTGCAACCCCAACTAAAGAACTGATTTTTTAAAATATGCTAAAAACATCGGATGAAAGCTTGTTGGGAAGAAAATACTTACACCATCTCAGAACATTAGCGCACAGAGGAGTACTAATTACAAAGGGGAGACATCCTTTACAATGGAGCCATCTGATTGACAACACTCTGACCACTTGTAGCAATACTAGGAGTGGAACGACCTGACATTACAGGCCTCCTGATGTGTGCAATGAGAAGTACACAGCACCGGCTTTGTAGTATTTGCCATAAGGAGTGTAACCTGAAGCTAATCAGGAGAAGACAGGCAAATCCAGAATGTAGGGCATTCTACCAGACAACTGGCTTGAACTGTTCACAATCATCAATCTTGGATTGGGAAAGTTCAAGTATGGCCTGCATATCACACCACTGAATTACTGTTCCTTACTTGGCTGCAAGTCTGATATTATGCTCCTTATTCTAAGGAGACACAGGCTGAAGTATTTAGGGGTGAGAGATCATGATATCTGCAACTGACATGCAATGAATTCAGAAAAAAATATGTACATATGTATCCATCTATATAGGGAGTAAGGCAAAATGTTAACACTGGCAAATTTGGATGATGTGTTCATGGATATTTATTGTACCATTTTTTCAACTTTCTGTACACTGGAACATTTTCAAAATAAGAACATGGGGAAATATCTTTAATATAATAACTTATTATATAATAATAATACATATATATATAACTTCCCATTCAGAATTTAAATTTGGGGGAAAAAAGGAGGAAAACTGAAGTGATCCTAAGGAAATATAACAGAAGATCTCAGGCTTAAAGGAAAAAGATTTTCTATCTGTCACATATGTTGAGTATAGGTCTAATCAAAGGCATACCCAGTCCTAGATAATTACAATTTACTTAAGTAAATTTCATTATTTCAGCACCTGAAATTAAAATAGGTAAAAAAAAAAAAAAATTAGGATAAGTTCTAACTCACAGAGAATAAAATCTAATTATTCAGATTATTAAATGAGCTAATGTACATAAAGGGCCTTCCAGAGAACCTGGCACAGGAGTTATGACTGACTGACCCATAGACTAGACACTGCCTGGCACAGCTGATATTCAAAACTATCTGTTGCCTGGAGCGCCTGGGTGGCTCAGTCGTTAAGTATCTGCCTTTGGCTCAGGTCATGATCCCAGGGTCCTGGGAGAGCCCCGCATTGGGCTCCCTGCTCAGCGGGAAGCCTGCGTCTCCCTCCCCCACACCCCCTGCTTGTGTTCCTGCTCTCGCTCTCTGTCAAATAAATAAAATATTTTAAAATATATATATGTATATATATACATATATGTATCTGTTGCCTGACTCACTCACCCCTTCATCCTCCCAAAAACAAGCTCACACTCCTCAGAAGTGATCATTAACAGTACTGGGTGTAGCATTTGCTCAATACATACAATCAAACATATGGAAGGATACATATTAAGTATAGTGTATCTAATTGTATCATACATATAACTATAAATTGGAATCACGCAACTTGCTTTTTATTCTTAAGGTCACTTTAATTTCTGACAAGGCAGCTCATTTCAGGCTATTTCGGGTAGAACTGCTGAAGAGGCTACCTGTAAATGAGAGGTCAATATTCCAGAAATTTCTACCACTCATTTTCCAATTCACTTTTTTTTTTTTTTTAAAGATTTTATTT